GTTCAGAGTACAGGCGGCATCCGTGTTGCAAGCTAGGTTAGGTTGCTGCAACATGCTAGGTTGGTTTCCCACTCGAATGCCCCGTGGCCGCCCCGTTTGGTTAGGTGCTGCTCGCCCCTTTCTCTCCATGTTCCCGGCTCCGGACCGTCTGCGGGTTTCGGGGTCGGGGCGGGGTTCAGTTGCGGCAGAGACTCGGGCGGTTTTCGGGGGATGCCCCGTTCGGGTTGGGGACGGAGGTTTGAGCCTGTGCCTCCTGCCAAGGCTTCTGGGTCTTACCAGCGGCCCTTTCTTGTTGCCTTTCCCATGGGCTCTTGCTTTTCTTTAAGGGCGGAGGGCTTGGAGGACGGCTCTGCCCCGGGGCCTCTGTTGTTGGTTCCCGGGGCTGTGGGGGTTGCCTGCTAGCAGTTCTGGGGCGGTTTTGCCCCTTCAGGGGTTTTTCTGCTGTTGGGCGTCGTTTTTCGCCCTTCCAGTCTGCTAGCTTCCCACATTTGCTGGCGTGTTTTTGTGTATTAAGCGTCAGTCACAGCCCCTGCTGGCGGCCATTTTCGTCTGCCGGTTTCCCGGCGTGGCCACCAGGGCGGCGTTGCGGTTTGTTTACATGCGTCTGGGTGTGCGAGCGAGCGTCTCTGGTGAGTTTTCAAAAAATTTGCAGGGTTTTTGTTCTCCTGTTGTCGTTTCTTTGTTTTTCTGGTGTTTTCTTGCCGTTGCCTGTTCCTCTGGGAACGTTTGGGTGTTGATTTTGGGTCTGAGCCTCTGGGTTTAGGCTCAGTGCCCCTGGCTGGTATGCTTGCTCCCACACCTTGCCCCTCGGTTTTCGGTCTGTTGGGACCGTTTTCCCAGGGCGTTCTGCTGGGGTCTGTGCTTTGCCTTTTAGTGGTGTTCTCCGCCGGCAAATGTGGTGGTTTGGGCTCCCCCTGGTTCGATTCTGGGTTCCTTTGGGTTCCTTGGTTTCGTTCTGGAGGTTTCTTCCTCTTGGGCCCCCTTTTGTGGGTTCAGGGGACTTTGTTTCCTCGTGTGACCCGGTTCTGCCTTTTGGGGTTCCGGGGTCTTCCTGGCTTGCAGACTGAGCTTTTTGGGTCTTGGCACATGTTGTGGTTGTGCTGGGACTTTGTGGTTTTGCTGTCGAGGTGGGCCTTTTGATGCAGTTTTGTGCCTTCTTTGCCTGGCCGGCGTAGTGCTCTTTGCCACTAGTCGGCGGCTTGTGCTTTTACAATATATGTCCTCACCTAGTTGTGCTTGTGGGGGTTGAGCTCTGGCTCCTTGGTCCTGCCTCTCAACCGTCCGTCAACAGGTGTATCGGTTCCTGTGCCTCTTGGGCTCTGTCATGTCTACATGTGACATTGTATGGGGGTCAGCCTCGTTACTTGTGTGAGGAGTCGCCACATTACTTCTTAGTGCTTTCCCGTTCCCATTCTGACACTCACAAAAAAAAAAAAAAAAAAAAAAAAAAAAACTTTAATTCTATCTGTGGCTCTTTTGGGTACTCAGTTTCCACCTGTGTCCCCTAGTGCGTGTGCCCCTTGTGTTACATAGCCTGTCCTTCTCAACCCTGTCGATTCCCTTGGGTATCTTGTATGTGGTGATCAGGTCTCCCCTCACTTCCTCTTCCAGCGAAGTGTGGTTTCATTCCCGTAGTCTCTCCTCATGACTTCGGTAGTGTACTTTTTCTTTCTGAAGGGGTTCTGTTCCCTTCTCTGTTGACTGGGCGCTGGGGGAGCAGCTTGCTCTGTTGCCTCTCGCTTGGTCCCGCTGTTGGTGGGCGCTTTGGGTTGTCTTCCGGCCTCTGCTGGCGTCGGAGGACGGCTTCTCCCCCTTGGGGGGGGTTCAGAGCTGGCGGGGTGGGCTTCTTCCCTGCGCTTCGTCATTTCCTCTTCGTGGGTGCGTGGGGCGTGGTCGATCCGCCCCATCCTTCTGGGCTTCCCGTCTGCTCTTTGCAGTCATGAGCTTTTCCCGTCTGCTCTTTGCAGTCATGAGCTTTTCCAGTCTGCAGTTCTTCTGGACTACTTCCGTCTGCGCCCTGGATCCTCTGCCCTGCTCGGAGGACTGTTGTCTCCTGTTCGGATTCTGTTAGGGCCGGGTGCATGGATGGTGGACCTGGACCTCCAGGTCACTTCTTGGCACGTTCCTCTCCAGTTTTTCTGGGGCTAGCACGGTTGGTAATTACCTATGTGTACTTACCTAAGTGTAGTTACAGGATGAGAGCTACTCTCGTGGTGTCCCGTCTTCCCAGCACTCTTTGTCATATAATGCTTTGATTATAATTGTCATATTGTCATATAATGATTGTCATATGTCATAATATGTCTTAATATGATTGTCATACAATGCTTTGGTGGTGGGGCTTCAGGTTTGCTGTTTTTATTGCATTCCCTATTTTGTGAAGGGCACTTTGTATACTCTTTGCATCTTTACCGGATCTTAGTGCCCTGTCTGCGTCTGAGATTCGGTGTCTGGCCTACCTCGACGACTGGCTGGAGTGGGCTCCCAGTCAGTCCGCTTGTCTGCTCGCCAGGGGATGGTTCTTTCCAGATCGCTGGGTTTGGTTTCCTGGTGATCTGGAGGTTTTACCTTCTGTTTCCGTCCCGGGTTCGGACCTGGGCCTTGTTTCAGGCTCTTGGGCCCCTCATTGTCTTCCCTCCAGAAGTGTTACTGTGGCTGTGGTCCCGCCTTTGGCTGTTCAGGAGGGGGTCCCGGGTTGCTCAGCGGTTGCTTGGGCGGTTGTGCGGGAGTTTGCACTTCGGCGTGCTTGTCTGCCCGCGGAGTCGGGTTTGGCTCCGGCGTCGGTTGGTTCCTACGGAGACTCCACTTCCGCCTCTTGCATTCCTTGGGTTCCTCTGGGGATCTGGTGTTGGTGCTGCGTCACCAGCTTCCTCTTTGGGGTTTTCGGGGTTCCGTGCCTTGGCAGCTCCCCGAGCCTTCGCTCGATGTGTTCACGGACGGGTCGTCTCTCGGCTGGGGCTTTGTGACCAGTGCTCACCAGGTCGGCCGAGGTTGATGGAGTCTGTCTGTCCGTCGGGCTCACAGCCCGGTTCAGGTGTTCATGGCTGTCTGGTTTGCGCTTCGGAGGGTTTGGGTCACTAGGTACTCTACCATTCAGCTCTGTTTGGACTGTTCTCTGGTGGTTCTTGCCGGAACCACAGGGGGTTTGGTTAACCGTGTGGTTCGTGTCCGGGGTGTGTCCTGCGTCCTGGTGGACAGCTGTCTCGGTTCATTCCTCTTCGTGGGTTGGCCAGTCGTCGCCGATTCGTTTTGTTGGCTCTGTTGGGCTTATGGACTCCTGGCCATGGACGTCTTCGGGTCGGCGTGGTCTAGGCGTCGCCCGTTTTGTGGCGCCCTTCCCACCTGCGAGGACTTCACGGTGGAGGCTTTCGGCAGGCCTGGTCGAGGTGGGGGGTACCTGTACCTCTTCTCCCGGTCCAGCTGTTGCTTCGGGTTCTGGCTCGGTTGCAGCCCATTCCCACGAGAACAGTCCTTATGGTTCCACGGTGGCCGGCCCGGCCTTCTTTTCAGACGCTGCTTGATAGGTGTCCGTACCCGGGGCGTTTTTCCTGAGGCTTCGCCTCTTTCAGCAGGCCGAATCGGTCCTGTCCGTGACTGGTTCGGCCTTCTCTTTGGCTCTTCGCGTCTGGTATTTTGACGCAGGTATCGCCATCTCTATGGTGTTCAGGTGGCTTTGTTGACGGTGTCCCACCTGCGAGCTTCGTCTTGGAGACTGTATGACGTTTATTACGTTTTCTCGCGTTTTGTTTCCCCTCCGGCCTGCTCATGAGTCGCCTGAGCCATCCTGGTCCTTGTTCAGGGTGCCTTCTTCTCTTCCCCTCAGTTTGTGGTAGCCCCTTCGGTTTCAGTTTCCTCCTCTTTGGTACTGGTGGTAGCTTTATTGGTGTGCAGCCTTTCTCTGTCCTGGCGACGGTCGAGACGGCTGCTTTCCGGAGGGGTTCTTGGGGTATTGGTACTTGTTTGGTTTGGCCGGGGGGTGCGTCCTGTGTTGTCCAGTTGTGCTTTTTGCTGTTGCCGGCGTACCGTGCCTGGGGATGCGCTGTGGTTGATCCGGTTCCTTCGTTCCCTGTTTTCAGGGCTCGGGTCTCCCGGGTCGTCCGCAGTGTTTTCCTTCTTCCTGCGGTCTGTCTTTGCGCCCGTGCTGTTCAGACGTTTGCAGCAATTGCTGCTGTGTTGGTGACGTCTCGGGCTCATTTCGGGCGCAGGGAATTGTGGGTCGCACAGGTTTTTGGCCGCCCATCCATATGTGCGTCTGTTCTTGGGCGTTCTTGTTGCCTTGGGTCGCAGGTTTGCGACCGGTTGTCTTGGCTTTGCGTTGCAGAGTTTGTGGCGGCCGCCTCCCGGGTTAGCCCTTTCTTTTCCTTCTCTTTGGGTATGAAGCTCCAGGGAGCCGTAGGGGCTCCCCACAGAAAACCAGCGTTGAATGTAATGAAACGCCATTTTCTGGGTGAGCCCCGGAGGCTCCCTGGAAACCCTCCCTCCCACCGGTCGGCGGTTTTTTCGCGTTGGTTGAAGCTTAGCTTCCGAACTGGAGCTTGGCAGCCGGCGCGGTAGGTCCGGGGCTCCCCCCTCCCCCTCCCGGGGTGGGGAGGGCTGCGCGGACGATCGGCGCGGCAGTAAAGTGTGATGTTTGCTTGTTTGCTTGTTTCCTTGGGATTGTAGGGAGTTTTCTACCTCTCTGTTCGGTTTTTGTTGTAGTTTCTTACCATGTGGGGTTTGTTTTGTTACGCCTACCTTTCTGGGTGCCTAACCCCGGTCGATGGCAGATAAGGAAAACCCCCAACCATATGGGGTTTTCCAGGGCCATTGCTCCCTGAAACCTCTCTGAAGGGGCCAGGTTCTGGCGCTGGTCCCTGGTAGGTCTGAACTCCTTAGCTAATGTCCCGGTCTAACATAACATACATTAGCCCGATAAGCTCCAGGGAGCCTCCGGGGCTCACCCAGAAAATGGCGTTTCATTACATTCAACGCTGGTTTTTTTCCCGTGCTCATTACACCCATTTGTACCTGTTAGACAATATGCTCATTATTTCCCTCTTATACTCTCCACCGCCCTATCTATATCTGGAGATAAGCCAACCCAGATATACATGTCATGATTGCTTTTAAGTGACTTAAATACATTCAGTTTCAGGCAGTTCAATTATCTTGGTTAATTTGTTACAACAAAATAAGTTCAGTTGTTTATACATTTTTACACAATTGGTACAAAATACATCGTATTTTAGGAATCGATGTGTATCGCTGTCGGGATGTGGATTCTTAGGAGTGTACATAATGGGAGCACTGGACTGTCTGAAACGACATTCTCCAAGATTCTTAGACAGTGCTACCATAGCTGGAGCCTCAGCAGGTGCTTTGCTTGGAGCATCTATTGTTTGTGATGTACCTCTTAATGGTGTCAGAGATGGATTTCTCCGCACTGCGATCGAGGCCAGGAAGTGGAAAATGGGTGTCTTTACTCCCGGATTTAAATTTGAAAATTATTTGAGTGCAGGACTAGATGCATTACCACCAGATGCTCATATCAAAGCAAGTGGAAGACTTTATGTGTCGGTAACTCGGGTGCATGACATGACTAATGTGATATTTTCTGAGTGGGAGTCGCGAGAAGATCTCATTCAGACTCTGCGTTGTTCCTGTTTCATTTTGGGTTTCTCTGGACTGTACCCTCCCATATTACATGGTGTAAAATACATGGATGGTGGCTACACCAACAAGCAACCAGAATTGGGTCCCAATACTGTTACCGTTAGTCCGTACAGTGGATGTGCAGATATATCTCCTAAAGAAAATGAAGGATTGGGTCAGTTAAAGTGGGCAAACTATGGTATGAATATCTCATATGCTAATGTACTACGTCTGTATAGAACTCTGATGCCACCACCTCCATATATATTAAATCATTATTATCATTATGGATATGAAGATGCTTTTCAGTTTCTTAGGATTAATAGGAAGTGCAAACAGAGATGAATGCTATATGATGACTTTGTAAGTTTGTTTTAAATTCTTGATTGTGGATTGCATGTAACATTTGCTCAAGCAGTCAACAGTGTATGTATATTTCCTCACTTTTTCCATTGATGGGGCGTTGTCATGCAGCTTTAAATGTGTTCATTCAATGCTTTGCAAACGGTTAAATTTAAAATCCGAAGTTTTATTTTGTTTAGCTTCCAGATCACTATTCCTATGTAAGAGTAAATAATGTTAAAATGCATGTACACAAGAATATTACAGTGTATCTATATACAATATACATGTACTGGTATATATATAATATATATCTATATATATGCAACAACAATCATGAAACACTGATCTAAGTGTGCAGGAATACAGTATCACATTGAAAAATTTAATTAAAACTAATGTGTTAAAATCATTAAACTGGCTGCCTTCAGCAGTTAGACTAGCCTAACTGCTAAAGAAGGCCAGCTTAATTCCTGAAAACATTAGTTTTTCTTTCATTTTTCAATGTGGTTTTTCCTGCACACTCACATCAGTGTTTCTTGATTGTTGTTGCATATTGAATTTATTTATTTATTTATAATAATTTGCTTTTGGTTTTTTACTGGCTCTAGCATTATTCAAATAATGTAGACAGTCAAATGTTATTTTTTTTTATGGCATACAGCATTGTAAATAACTATTGACAAATAGTTAAAGCACTGAAAGCAAAAATAAAACAAAAATCTCTTAAATTTAAGGCTATTGGTATATTTTAGGGTAGCTTGCGTGTCGCTGTCTGGTGCCGGCTTCTTGGGCATTTACGAAATTGGTGCTATTGAATGCCTGGATCACCATTGGCCAGAACTTTTTAAAAAGGCAAATATGGCTGGGGCATCAGCTGGTGCTCTTCTGGCAGCTTCTTTGGTATGCAATGTGCCAGTAGAGAGAATCAAGTCAGGCTTTTTCGAAACAGCAGCTGAAGCTCAGAAATGGACAATGGGCCCCTTTAGCCCTAACTTCAGTATTGAAGACTACTTAAGAGTGGGATTAGAAGCTTTACCTCCTGATGCTCATATTAGGGCCAGTGGGAGACTGACTGTATCCCTCACCAAGGTTACCAGTAAAGAAAATATATTGGTATCCAACTGGGAGTCAAGAGAGGAACTCATCCAATGTCTTGTATGTTCCTGCTTTATCCCTCTGTTTTCTGGTCATAAATTTCCACTCTTTCGTGGAACTAAATTCATAGATGGATGCTTCACTAATAATCTTCCTGTGGTACAGCAGCCAACTATTACCATAAGCCCATTTGAAAGCTTGGCTGATATTTGTCCAAGAAATCCTTCAAAGGAACCCCTGTATGTAAAGATTGGTAATGAGCATATGGCTGTAACATTTGCCAATGTAGCAAGACTTATTCACTCTTTGTTACCCCCACCAGCAGAGGTCTTAGAGGACTTGTATGTCATGGGATATAGAGATGCTTACTACTTTTTACAAAGGAAACGCTCATTCTTTAGGTAGGGTAAGCAGGTGTGACATTGACAACTGTTAAAACATTTTCATTTAATGTTTCTTGGGTTGTTTGCATACAAGCTTGTAAAGTATTATAGTACACATATGGGCAAAATATTATGTACAGAAGCAAAATTTGTACTACAATGTACTACATTTCCTTAAACAGTTAGTATAATTTATAAGTGCAAATAACCACAATACTGTAGTAGGATGCTGGATTAGTTTTAGGGGAATTTTAATTTATTTTTGTTCTGTAGAACTAGTGAGCAGTTTGAGTGCTCAGAGTACTTTGCAATGCTATTTAATACTTTATCAGTAATCTGGGGTTACTGTACATTGGATGCTGGTAAGGCAAGCCCCACGATCATAATGAGTTTACCATCACAAGGTAGCAGTGGTCCCTAACCAAGTACAGTATAGTGTTTACAGTGTTGAATTATATAATGTACTGCACTGTAGAATTTGAATATACTGTAGTATCTTTGAGTTTCATGCAGACCATTTGGAATCGGCTGCAGATCTGAATGTGTTGAACCCAAGAAAATATGTTTGGTAATAGTATGTATATTAGTTTATACATAGATGTAGCTATATGTTGGTACACTTTTGGAGTGTTTGGCTGCTTCATCTGCAGATAATTCAAATCATAATAGATGTATGTTGTAGTACTGTATATACCAATTTTTGTACATCAAACCACTTGAAAATTTGTATGTAATATGCTAGCCCCGATGATTCAGTAATGTGAACCTTGTGTAGCATCTTTGTAGCTTAATAGTGTTAGAGCAATCACTTTTGGAAGCTTTAATCTTGATCATTTACATATTCAGTATAACAGAGTTAAGAGATGTTCTGTGGAATGTCTTAATCTTTTTTAAATGGAAGGCAGATCGTTAGATGTTGATAAGTTGGCTGAAAAGGATAAATCAGTAGAGGAATTGCAAGTTATTGTGAAAACTATATCAATTAAACAATAGAAACTTAGCAAGAAGTTAAAGATTAGTGCAAATTTGAGAAAAGGTGATGGTTTAGGAAGATGGGAGGTTATCTATCTTGAGGTTATCTTGAGATGATTTTGGGGCTTTTTTAGTGTCCCCGCGGCCCGGTCCTCGACCAGGCCTCCACTCCCAGGAAGCAGCCCGTGACAGCTGATTAGCACTCGGGTACCTATTTTACTGCTAGGTAACAGGGGCATAGGGTGGAAGAAACTCTGCCCATTGTTTCTCGCCAGCGCCTGGGATCAAACCCAGGACCACAGGATCACAAGTCCAGCGTGCTGTCCGCTCGGCCGACCGGCTCCTGGGAGACTGAAATTTAGATGGGTGGAGAGAGTACAGAATTTTGAGCCTTTAACAAACAGTTGTAATGAGGCTGGAGGATGGGATGGCATATAATCTGGGAGATCTGGGAAGATAGAGAGCAGGTAAACACCTGCCCGAAACGCTTTGCGTAATAGTGGGTTTAGGCATTGTATGTACTAGCTCTATCTATAAATCCATCACAAATATTTTTATTTGTAGGTGCCATATTGTGATGTTGGGTCAGGGTGTGAATTTGGAAGTATGGTTAAGTCTGTTAATTAAGGGAATATCTTTCATCAATATTCACGGGAGGTCTTAGTTAAGACCTTAATTAAGGTCTTCCATGAATATATTAAGATTACCAAGAAAAGCACAAATTGGTGAAATATGTTTTTTGAAGACGACTGTTGAGTGATATTAGCCGACATTGTGAGAAATGCGAGCGTAAGAGATACTGTACATATATGGAAAGGTGATTTTTAGAAAACAAAATTAAATATGAAGTGCTATTCATAGTTTGGGCATGTAAAGGAAATTGATGACCACAGGTTGCCAAAATGTGTTATATGTATGGCATAAACCAAGAAGTATAAGGGCCAAACAAAAATATTGTGAAGGTTCAGTATAGAGCATCGTCTAAGGATAGGAGTGCTTGGAGAAGAATGCACCTACCAGCTTGCGGGTTAGTGGGAAATGTGGTTTTAAATATAGATTCATATATAATACAGTACTACCACATGATATTTAAAAAAGAATTCTTGAAACTTAGAAAAAAAAGGATGACTTAGAAAACACTACAACAATTTCCTCAGGAATTTTGTGTACTGCAGAAGATATTTTTTATTCAATAAGAATGCCCTAGTTATTGATAGCTATTTACTATGTTAGCAAATATCACTGCCATATGGATGAGTACAGTATAGTGTGTGTGTGTGTGTGTGTGTGTGTGTGTGTGTGTGTGTGTGTGTGAGGCACGCACTCTCACTTTGTCACGTGACTGCAGATACTTGTCAATATTACCACATCATTCTAGTGTGTTACCAACATTTTCTAAAGAAACCAACATACAGGTACTTGGGTAACATTTAATGTATGTATACAGTAAACTAAATATTGTTTGGTCTCAAAATTATCTTTTTACATAACTGTAATTATCTGTTATATTCTAAGTATAATGTCCATACTGTATATTTTATGTATTTCAGTGTAAATATTTATAAATGCTAATTTGTGTATATTAGGCACCTATTAATATACTCTAGTATTTATTATATTGTTAAGTGTTTTTCCCAAACCAGTTAATAATGAATTAAAGTTAAGAATAGTTAATGTAGATCTAATCTTACCTATCCTCATATTGGTACATTAGTTTAAAGTAATGACAATTTAATATCTGTAGTGTGAATAGTGAGTTTAAATTGTTGGTGGTAGTACAAAGATTTGAAAAGGTCTCCATATTTTAGAACGGCACAAGGCCCAAAACTCGAAATATGAAGTAAAAAACCACGAACTAAGAGGTGCTTGGTATACCTTGCAGCATTACTGCTTAGTGTACATATGTATAAGATTGGATGTGAATCTGAAATAAAAACAAAATCATGTTTATCTATATCAAATCATGATTATCTGTATCAAATCATGATTATCTGTATCACAAGAGGATTCTTGATTGAAGAATAAGTTGCCATAACTGGTGTCTACCGTGTATATTATGTTTCTCTCTACATTAGTTTGCATCACATGACTGTAACAAATTTAATACTTTAAGAATTAGTGTATTAAAATTGCACAACTTCAACATATCATGTGGAGTTGCTTGATTATTTCATAGGTTAGACATACTGTATATTGTACTGTATATGAATGAGTTTGGGTGGATGTAAATACGAGTTGCCTCGTATGAGCCAATAGGTCCTCTTATGTTCCTATATTAAGTCTTGAGTGTAGGCTCTGGCAGATACTTTAATGCACTTTTGAAATTTAAAAACCAACCATGAAATGTATATGGGTTTTCTCACAAATTGAAAAATCTTGTGGAATAGCTGTGAGGTAAAATTAATTTAAGTATTTTGACTGCTTGCACCTATGACAGTCTAGAATGGAGAGAAATACGTTTCAGTGTACCAAGAATGGTAAATACAGTGTTTTCTATATAAAAGTATAAATGGGCTTTTTACAGGGATAACCTTTAAATTTCTTCCCTTGTGTTGTTATAAACCAAGTTTTTCCTTGGCATACCTGTACTGTTTCTTCCTTCCTGCCTCCCTTTTTGCCTTATCTCTTAATCTTGTGTTCCTCTCAGTGTCTTTGTGGGATTGTCTGGCCCGGGCTTCCCCTTTGATCGGGCTGCTCTTTCACCCTCTCCTTCCTGACTTCTGGTTCTCACGATACGGGGAGTACATGACCACTCTACACTCTCTTCCTTCCCTATCTGCTATTTGAGAAAATCCCCAAGAGGGTTGAAAATATTTTAGAAATCCCCTCCCCCTTTCAAATGTGGTTTATTCTTCATAATGTAAGAAATTTACATTTTTAATAATGCTGTATGTTATGTAATTAATGTACTGTACTACATTTGCTAACTTTCTATTTGTACAAATTACTTTGTGAATATTCCTTGTATTCAACTTGAAAAATAGAAAATTATCATTGCAATTGATTTTTGTTTTAAACCAAATACTGTGTACTAGTGTTTGTTTGTAATTGTGTTGAGCGTGGAGAGGGTTGGCAGAGTAACATTCATGATACAGCTTCTTGCTTCCTGAAGAAGTATGTAGAACATTACTAGGTTACTCTGTTCTTTTCAGCAAGAACATATTGATCAGGTTGATTGTAGATCCAAACATGTTGATCTGGTGGCTTATAGATCAGAACATGTCTTGATCTACACCCCCCCACCTGATCAATATGTTCTGATCTACAACCCTCCAGATCAGTATATTCCTAAGCTACAACTCACACGATCAATATGTTCTGAGCTACAATAATAATAATAGGTTTCAATAAGAAAAATGGGGAAATTGAACATGCAAAATAAATATCAAATGTGGAGCATGATAAATGACATACAGTAGGACTGTATTATGATGAAGTACTGGCGGGAAGAATATGGTTTACAACATTCGCAGTTTGCAGACGGCAGGTCAGTGGTGGGAAAGAAAGGAAACACAGGTGATAGGAATGATGATTGTACACAAAAATATGTAGGACAAGAAGAAAAGTTGTAAACAAAGGATGAATAGGAGTAAGTCAAAGTAAGAAGAATGTATAAATTGTTGCTTTTTTCCATCACGTCTGCAAATTAAAAATGATTAACTTTGTGCATTTCTTTGTTTTGAGTGAGTGCATCATTCCATAGTGATGTTCTGTTAAATATTGCAGACTACACTACAGTACTGATTTCTTTCAAAAGATAACATGTACAATATATAGTGTATGTCAGGTTATTATGCTATGTCTGCCTATCTTGTAACTATGTATATCTGTTTATTTTCTTGTTTCAGGTCACGTTTGGGTTGTCAGGTGTGCTTAACCAAAAAACTGAACGGCATGACTGTGCAAGTTCCTGAAGCCACTGCTGATGCTCGCTCAATGTAACGCCGAAATGTGTACACAGCTCTTGCTCATAAAAGCGTAATTGGAATATTTACTGGCCATTTAATATTGAAGATTAATATCGTCATTAAATTGCAGTTTATTATACCTTTGTACAATTCCCAATACAAAATAAGTTCAAATGTATTATTAAATGGCTAGTGTAAGTAGCTATTATTATACTGCTGGGTGTTACAGGATTAAAACTATCACAGCAGCACACACAGAGATAACACTAACGTGATGCATCAAATGAACAAATCCACAAGGGCCGTGACGAGGATTCGAACCTGCGTCTGGTAGCATCCCAGAGACTGCCGTAATCGATTAAGGCAGTGTCTGGGATGCTCCCGGACGCAGGTTCGAATCCTCATCACGGCCCTTGTGGATTTGTTCACTATCACAGCAGCTTTGAAATAAAATTTAATTGCAATATTTCATTTGCAAATGAACATCTATTCAATAAAATCTTCAACTACTGCATTAGCACAAACTAACACCACTCACATTTCAATGACAATATATTTTTATCCAATAAAATTATGCTCCAATGCTGTAATGTGCATTACAAGAGGATAGACAGGAAATATACATTTTAATGTTATGGTCCGTTCAAATCACATACCTCAGGAGTAGGTTAGGAGTTTGTAGTGACTTCTCTAGAAATTTTAGTAATATTTTGTGCTACAGCTTAATTGATATTGTGTATATCCCATCAAGGAGCAAAATTAAGTCATTGCTAAAAAAATAATAGCTGAATAAACGTAAAATTATTATAAAGATACAAGTGCTACATTGGTCTACTTGTCCCCTTCAACCTAGTCTACTTCTAAGAGTGGTGAGTACTGAAATGGTAAGTGTCATGCATATTTTTATTATTATTTTTGGTTTTACACAATAGACCAATAATTTGCAAATATTTATATGCGAAGATAAAATAAACAGCTGAACAAATACCTAAAATGATTTATAAGCATTTGTGAACAGTAAACTGCTGGCACACACATCTGTTTGCTTTAGGGGGTACCACTAGCAGACCTCAATGTCAGTGTTAATAAAATTCCAAAGCATATAGATACTGTAAATCTGTTATCCATGTTTATTGTTAACCGCAGTACACATGGATAGTAACATTTTATTTACTTTGGCCCTGGGAGCCTCAAACCACCAACCCCAAGAGTGGAAGAAGGTATCTCTTGGCGTCGCCACTGAACAGCCACAACAAGGAAGGATTCCAGAAACGCCTAAGTTTTGCCCAACTGGAACTTTAAGCCT